CATTGTAACATTGTCATGGAGGTCACATGACCACTGAATATCACAGTAATACATTGTATATAACATGGGTATGGAGGTCACATGACCACTGAATATCACAGTAATACATTGTATATAACATGGGTATGGAGGTCACATGACCACTGAACCAATCACATATATTATATACATAATAATACATTGTATATCTATTGCCTCCAAAATGTATCCCCGACCTCCCAACAATAATATCACGAATGTACCCAAGCGTCGAACGCGCACCTGAGTGAGCGCAACGTCGTTTTAGCGATCCCACGCCTGTAAAAAATAAAAAAGTCGCCGTGGCGCTAATCTGAGTCCTCGCCAGCCCGACTCGATCTTTTCCGAACGTCACACCAACAATTTACATGAAGCGATTTTGTTACAATATCGCCAGAAGAGGAATCACTTCCGAAAGTGAATCGTACATTGGTATCTGGGGTAGGTATCTGGCGCTGCGCTAATTACCTAAAAATTGCGTTGGGAGGAATTTTGGGAGAATCCTTTTTTTTCTTAAATTTTTTAATAACGTGCACGTATCCAAATCTGCCGCCGAATTGAAGGCCAAAAAAATGTCGTAAACATCAGTTCCCAAACACACCTACACATTCTTAAAACGCGTTCATGGAATTCATAAAAAACGTGGTGCCATTACTTGTCAATGCAGCTGGGAAAGCACGCGCGTTTTTTTCCACGTGGACGCGCATTAAAACGTGAACATGCAGGGGGGAAAAAAAAACGCGGGACACCTATAGCAGAATCTGCTGCATGAGCTACTTTCCCTTTCCTACTTTTTTTCTGAAATCCATGGACGACGCGCACAAACGCGACGCGCGCTCCCGGGACACCTGGGCCTAAACGATATATTGCGCCAGATTCACTAAATTCGGCGTTGGTTGCGGGATGCGAATTGTCGCACGTGACATTTTACTTTGGCGTGTCAAATATGTTGCGGCGCCTATTGTTTATTTGGCGCACGTGTAGTTGCCTTGCGCTGCCATCCTCTTGGCGCACTACGGCGCCAATTAGCTCATTTTCAAAAAACGTTATTTATTTGGCGCAGACTTTTTGCACGAGAGGATGCACTTGGAATCTAATTTTTTGGTCGCATATTTCTTTTCAAACGCTTCGAATTGGCGCATCCACAAAAAAAAAAAAATGTTCCGCCGCCATTTTCTGTACGGCTTTAGAGAGAAAAAGGTTCGGGACTCAAGTGGTTAATATATATATTTTTTTACATTGAAGGCTGCGTTGTTTTTATGTGAGCTGTCTGCGGTCCAGAACTGATGGCGTCACATGTACCTCAATGCAGTACGTCACATGTACCTCAATGTACTCCGCCCATTCACGACAATGGAAACAGGTTTACACAACATCCCCAACCTCCGTCACTGATACCGACCATCCCCCGCCGCTCTTATATCAAATCCCTGAGCACAATGTTACCTCCCGGGGCCCCTCCCCCCACTCTCGCGTTGGGTTGTCACCCGTCCGGTTTTGGAAGTGGGCAGACCGGTTTTTAGAGCTGCTGCCCCGTTTTTCGGATTGCATAGCAAATGGCATCGCAACACGCTGGGCGTTATCTAGTGACTGCAGACACAGCTGTACGGTATGTCCTTGCCCTAAGCCGTTTCAAGGGTGACATCATACAGAGGCAGAGTTGCCACCCCCCCCCGAATAGTCCAGTTTTCCAAACTGTACTCAGATTTTTGGAGCACTCACGTGCTGTTTTATGGAGGGTGACAACACAGGAGAACCATTGGGAAACGGTGACAGAGCGTTGTCACCCTATAACAGGAAGGACCTTTACAGTAAGATCATCAGGGTTTTTTTTTAAATTAAAGTTGATTTAAGAAGAGCTGGAGCTGGTCCTCATTCTGCAGCCTGCGGACTAATGCCATCAGACCAGCTCTGGACGGGCATGACTACCTGAATACTAGCATGGTGGGAGGTGGAAGAGGCTGATGTCCTTCCTAGGTTTCCACCATATGTAAGGAAGGTCATATTGGCCTGCAGAACCATGTCTTGGCATGTGTGTGTGAGGTTCTGTACATGGTATCTCTACACAGGACTCAAGATGTGCGTCCATGCTTGTCACCAACAATGGCGCCTGTGGCCAAGAACCCATCTTCAGCAGTTGTGGTCCTCTAAACATGAACCTGGAGCTCTATGGACCCAACTTCTTTGAACTCTTCTGTGGCCTCTTCCTGTCTGATTGTCTTTTCCTGTTGTTGACTCTGGACCGTCCTTCAAATAGGACTGGTTCTCCCACCATGGTGGCACCAAATGGTGTCCTGACTTGGACTCTACTTCCTGACTTCACAGTTCCATCCAACCTTGACCTGTTCATTAGCCATTAAACCCATCTGTGACCTGCACTCGCCTGGTGGTTCCTAGCTGTCCAGAGGCCTTCACTTCCAGGTTCCTGGGATATCAATATCACATGACAAACACTCTCCACCAGCCGTACCCAACCAAGGTTCCATGGAACCCTAAGGCTCCTCCAGAAGTTTCTAGTGGCACCATGGTGTTCTGACTTTGACTCTACTTCCTGACTTCACACTTCTCCATCCAACCTTGACCTGTTCATTGACCATGAACCCACCTGTGACCTGCACTCGCCTGGTGGTTCCTAGCTGTCCAGAGGACTTCACTTCCAGGTTCCCGGGATATCAATATCGTATGACAAACACTCTCCACCAGCCGTTCCCAACCAAGGTTCCATGGAACCCTAAGGCTCCTCCAGAGGTTTCTAGGGGAGAGAGTTCCCCAAGGCTCATTGGGTTCCATGAGATGAAGCTGATTGACTCGCCATCTTTGGGAAGTCAATGGGAACAGAGAAATTAAGGTGTTTTTTGGTGGTCTTCAAGAGTGCTTTAAATGGCTCCTCAGGGTTAAGGAAGCTCCTACCAAATATCCTGGACCATTTCTTGTGTCAGGATGGCCAGCAGATAGAAATCATGGTCCCTGGTGGAGTCCAAGTCATCATCGAGAATCTGGAGCTGGAAATCCGGAGCTAGGAAATCCGGGACCATGATTTCTATCTGCTGGCCATCCTGACACAAGAAGAGGTCCGGGATATTTGGTAGGAGCTTCCTTAACCCTGAGGAGCCATTTAAAGCCCCTTGCACTCTTGAAGACCACCAAAAAATACCGTAATTTCTCCGTTCCCGTTGACTTCCTAAAGATGGCGAGTCAATCAGCTTCATCTCATGGAACCCAATGAGCCTTGGGGAACTCTCTCCACTAGAAACTTCTGGGGAATGGAGCCTAGGAGCAGGGTCACGGAGTGAGGTCTCTGGTCTTTTCCCCAATTCCCAATTAGACTGGGCAAGTTGAGGGCCTGTGTTGATGAGCTTTTGTTCGTGCCAGATGGTTGAAGATGCTTGAAGGAGGTCAGAAGGAGGTCACATGAACCTGTCAGGGAATTCTGAATGATCTCAGAAGAGATTTCAACTGATGTCATAGCCACAAGTCAAAAAGGCCATCAAGACAGGCCCATAATGAGGCCGTGTCATACAGGCTTAGAACACCAGCAGGGACCGGGACCCCCTTGGTCCCTGCTGCACTAAGCTGGTTAGAGCACCTCAACACATGAAAACCGGAGCCGGTAACACAACACATGCGTGTAAATTGGCCCCAAGAACTCCATGGGGGATGTTCAGCAGTCCCAGTATACAAGCAATTCAATGATGGGTGAAGGAGTCGGCTGTGCCCTCATGCTGCGCACTCAATGCATTGCGTGGGACGACCCCATTTTTCCATGTGGTATGTCATATGATAACAATGTGTCTCTTTGTCATGGACATGAAACACACAATGGAGGACTATAGAGGCTAACGGGCTCCGGCAGACCCACAACAGTGCCACAGTTCACTGGCCATATGACCTCATGCAGCTTAGAATTTAAAGTGGCAGCACGACAAGAGCGCAGCTGACACTGACATGAAGAATGAATATGGCGGCCCATATCAGTGCCAAATCATGTGATTCTAACACCTGCAGGGTGGTCACTGCTCTCCATTCTTCCCTCAATTATTAAGGATCTGGAGGACACTAGTACTGGCTGTACAGGCACTGGTATTGGAGGACACTGGAACTCGCTGTACAGGCACTGGTATTGCACTACACTTGTACTGGCTGTACAGGCACTGGAACTAGATCACACTGGTACAGGCACTGGAACTGGGTGGCACTGGTACTGAATGTACAGGCACTGGAACTGGGTGCACTGGTACAAGCTTTACAGGCACTGGAACTGGGTGGCACTGGTACTGGCTGTACAGGAACTGGGTGGCACTGGAAATGGCTGTACAGGCACTGGAACTAGGTGGCAGTGGTACTGGGTGGCACTGGTACTGGCTGTACAGGCACTGGAACTGGGCAGCACTGGTATTTGCTGTACAGGCCCTGGAACTGGGTGGCACTGGTACTGGGTGGCACTGGTTGTTGCTTTACAGGGACTAGTACTGTGGATGGCAATGGTACAGGATATATAGACACTGGTAATGGATGACACTGGTACTGGTTCTGGCTGTACAGGTGGGGGGGAGGAGACACAACTGCAGTCCTGGAGTCTATGAGACCTGCAGCGCTTACACCCCCATCGTCCAGGACGTAGAGCGGGAGCCATTCATATCCCTCCCAACATTATATACAAGAACGCTGCATGGCGGAGATCAGGAATGTCTGCCGGCTGTAAACCTGTTCAGGCCATTGTGCAGGAGCTGGGCTTTAAGGGGGAGGGGAGGAAGGGGGGAGGTTAAAGAGCGGGTTGATTTGCTTAAAGTTTCCTCATCAAAACAATATTCATGTTTTTGGACATTTTCATGAGGAATTGATCTTCTGATGAAATAATAAACACATTTGAATAACGCACACAGAGGAGAGGAATAAGTCACATGACATTTTATGCGGTCACATCCTTCAAGGTATGACGAGATCCAGGAAATTGTTACATTTATATATATATCACAAAAATATCATACAGAGCACCCCAAAACCTCCATCCTCAGCATGATGCTTCCCTTCCACTTCTCGGGGTGCAGTTTAAGATACCGCGCGATGACCGGAGCCTCCAGGGTGACCCACATTGGGGTGTTGTACTCTTTGTTCCCATTGAAGATCTGAAAGAACAAAGAAAGTCGTTTTCTTAATGTCAAAATACATTGTAACAATGTTACCAGAAACCGGGAGATCCGCAGATGTCAACGTCCTCTTAACTCAGCAGCTCAGCCCTCCCCCAGCAGCAACTCAGCTAACCCCTCTAAGCAGTAATTCAGCATACCAGCACACACTGATCACCACTC